TGGAAGGAAAGAAAGAAAGAAAAGAAAAGAAAGTCTTCCTGGCAAATTCTTCTACAAGAGCCCCTCCTTTCCAAGAGCCACTCTCCTCAATTAGCTAAGCAGACGACCAAGAATCTAGACAATGGCTTGTCCTCTGACTTGGGCACTGTCTGCTTTGGCCAAGCCGAGAGGACAGTGGGGTGTGCTGAGAAGTGGGAACTGTGCCCCTACCTCTGGGAAGAAGATCAAGTCTAGCTGTGCATAAACAGAGCAAGGGCTGGGACTGAGAACAGCACGGCCAGGGTGTACAAGCCTGTATCCTGCTTTATCAGCAGAACCTGGTTCATCTTGCCTGCTTCTAACCCTCAGAGCCCCAGCGACTCCTGGTAGAAGCATTCTGCTCAAACATTTTCCACTCCCATGCCTGTAATGGCAGAGTGATGATGTTGTTGGGAAAAACCCATGTAATTGGTCCTCCATGTTGGCTAATGGCAGCCTGAGGTAGCTCCTACACTCGCCTCAAAGCTCTGTTGGAATAAATATAGGAAGAAGTCAGCCCAGATAATGCAATCCTGATAATGCAATCCTCAGCTCTTCAAACAGGGTGGCGTACAACCTGAAACAGTACTTTGGGTTCTAATTTGTATGTCCCCTAGACCAAGTAAATGTCAAAGAGAGGTTGCGGGTGAGGGCACAGCATTGTAACATTGTTGGTTTTAACAAAATCCCAATCATTAGATTTTACCTGTAAAGACTGGGGAGTCAGATGCTGGGGTGAGAGCCTGCTAGCTCAGAGAGGCAGAGAGCCCCCAGCTGACCTTCCTCCTCAGCCAACATCCCTAAAGAAGCAATGTTCCTTCCCACACCATCCCCCCCCCCAAAAAAAAAGCCCTCCAATTGAATGTCCCTCCTTTCTACTTCCTGTGTGTCTTTCTACCCATCCTCCTGACTCCCTCTTGCTCTCTATGGGTTTTTTCTTAATAATCCCAAGGTTGCTCCCTGTCAACTGGTTGCTTGTCCCACCTCTTGAACCTATGTCTGACTTTATTTAATCCTGTTTATAATATTCAAACAGAAAGTTCTTGGATTAAAGTTGTGTGCTAGGGCTGAGCCATGCCACAATTAGAAACAGGACTTTTTTTTTTTCAGTAAGCAACACAATCTCGGGGTTCACAGTGTGATCAAATATCCTGCAACATAACACTGAGTTTCCTTGCTCAGTATCAGTTTTCTTGTTTTTCCTTCACTGTTACTTCTTACGTCTTTAGTTTGCAATATTTCCCACCTTCATTCTTTTAATTTCTTTTCCACATTTCCATTTCCTTTTAGATTTAATTGCTAATACTTTTGCATTTTTTTTTCTAATTTTTAACTTCTCTCCTTTTTTGTACTTGCTTATTGGGGATGTATCTGTGGTCCTCAATTGGGTTTCTATCACATTAAGATATCTGGTTTCTTTCCTGATTGTCATCATTGAGATTCCCATTCTCTCCCTCTGAATGGTAGTGAGGACTGAACGTGGCACACATACACATACAAATGGCCAGTTGCAATGTAGAAATAGAATAGAAATGAAAGGCAAAGCAATCTGACTCTTTAAAAAGCTATTAACCCTAGGTAATTAAATCAAAATTAAAATAAATTAAAATGCCAGACAAATACTTGAGAATTTACTTCAGAGAAATGATCAACAGTGTGAAAGAAGGATGCACATAAAAAGATGAATGGAGCGAGGAAGACTGCTCGAGAGAGAGCACTGGATTGGAAGAGATATTCAACTTAAACAAAAATCTGCCATGGGAAAGCATCAACAAGAAGCAAAATCAAGAAGCTCAAAGAACAGTAGTGATTGAAGAGGGAGGAGTTAACACATTCAGAAAACTTCAGAAGTAAATAATCATGATCAGCGCTTTTAAGAACTCCAGCGTACAAACAAGAGACCTCATCTAAGAAACGTGGAGTAGAAGTCTGAGCTGAAGTACAAACTAACAGCATAAAAACCTACTCAGTAAAATTAGAGCAGATATTTATCTCAATTCTAGGTAAAGATATGGACATTCATATATAGGAGGAATTTAAACCCCCAAATTGTCATGCCTGGAAAGGAGCCCCTTCATGTCATATTATCATTTAAAAACTAAGAGTTGGGGCTAGAGAGATAGATGGCTGTGTGGTTAGCTGCAGTCAGCTCTTTCAGATGACCCAAGTTTGATTGGCAGCACCCACATCAGGCTACTTATAATCTTCTGTAGCATTAGTTCCAGGGGATCCAACACCCTCTTTTGTCCTCCTTGGGTTCTGTACTCACATGCACAAAACTGCATGCAGAAAACACACACACTCAATTAATTTCTTAATTTAAATGTGAAGATTCAAGACTTGAAGGCTGTAAAAGTGGCAAGTGCTTTACAAAGACAAACTCATCAGAATTATATTGTGCCTGTGAGGAAGAACTAAAAGCCAGAAAAGCTTAGAACAATGCGGTTCAAAGCCCGAGAGAAAATGCCAGCCAAGAGTCAATATCCAGCACAATTTTTCTTTAAAAACAACAGAGAGACAAAGACCTTTCAAGATAAGCACAAACTAAATCAGTCTGTGCTGCTAAGTCAAGATCAGAGAATGTACTTAAGAGAATTCTCCACGCAGATGAGCAAGAAAGTCAAAATTATGAACATTTAATAAAACAAACAAAAAACAAGCCAAAAGCAGGAGATGAGGCAAGGTGATGGTGGAAGCACACCGCTCAGGCCTTTTCCACATGCATGCCCACGCTGGCCCAGTGCCTATGAGATAAGAGGAACCTAAGCCCCCACGGCAGCTGATGGGAGCAGTCAGAGGGTAGATCCCACTTCTCGTCCTGTGCACAATGACTTGGGACTCAAGATAAAATGGATCAGCGACCATAATGTAAGACCTGAAAATTTGAAATGAGAGGAAACCCTGTGGGAAACATTTTAATACCTAGGCTCAGGCAATGGAACTTTCGTCTTTTTAAATATAGTTTTCTCTTATTTTCTTTCTTTCTTTCTTTCTTTCTTTCTTTCTTTCTTTCTTTCTTTCTTTCTTTCTTTCTTTCTTTCTTTCTTTCTTTCCCTTCCTTCCTTCCTTCCTTCCTTCCTTCCTTCCTTCCTTCCTTCCTTTCTTTCCTTCCTTCCCCTTCTTTCTATTTTGAGACAGTCTCTTTATTATGTAACCCTGACTGTCCTCGAACTCACTATGTAGACCAAGTTGGCCTAGAACTCAAAGTGACCCACCTGCCTCTGCCTCCCAAGTTCTGGGATTAAAGGCATCCACCACCACACCCAGCTACGAAACATAACTTCCTTAACACAACTCCAATGTCTCAATGAATAACAGGAAGTTTGACAAGTGGGATTACATTAAAATGAAGTGCTGAACTTCAAAGGAAACAAGAATGTAAAGGTGACCTACAGAATGGAGAAAGTCTTTGCCAGCAACTCATCAGACAGAGGAGTAATATACAAAATACCAAAAGGGCTAAAAACAAGTAAGTATGCAAAGACCAAATAATACAACCAGAACAAATGAAGTGGACAAATGTCTACACTTTGTCAAAGTGTAAACAGCTAATAAAAATGTTCAGAGTTTTTAGCTGTCAGGGGAATAAAAGACAAAATGCATGAAAATTCCATGTCATCCCAGTTATCACCCAGAGCACAAAAATAATCAATGCTGACGAGGATACAGGGGCAAAGTTGAAATGTCTACACACTGTGGAGGGAATGGAAATTAATCCAGTGACTATGAAAATCAGCATGGAGGCCCCATAAGAAGATAAAACTAGTACTCGAGAGGCAGAGGCAGGTGGATCTCTCTGAGTTTGAGGCCAGCCTGGTCTACAGAGAGATTCTAGAACAGCCAATGCTACACAGAGAAACCCTGTCTCAAAAAAAAAAACAAAGAAAGAAACAAAAAAGAAGTCAAAAATGAAACTACCATATTATCCTGCTGTTCATTTCTGGGTGAACGTCCCAAAGACCCAGGTGATTCTCTACAGAAGTACCCTCGTGTTCATTGTAGTTCATTGCCAAGTTATGAATCAGCTCAGATGCCTATCAACAGCCAGATGGTTACAAAAAGAAAAGAACAGAACAGAAAAAAGTGGTGTATAATACAGAGCAGAGCATTATTGTTCCATAAAGAAAATGAAAATTTGTCATTTAGGGAATAATTTGGACATCTGTGAGTGCACGTGTGGGTAGAGACTGGGGGTCAGAGGACAGCTTGCAGGACTTAGTTCTCTCCTTCCACCAGGCGTGTTGGGGGATTGAACTCAAGTTGTCAGACACGATCAAAGAACATTGTTTGCACATATGGAAACACTGCATCAGAGCCCCTTTGAGCGACTAAATATCGACTAATTTAAACAAGAAAGTGACATGATAGTTTTAGAAAAGAAATCACAGGAGGGAAATATAACTGGGAAAGTTCCCGAGGCGATGGGGTTGTCTCATGACGCTGCAAGATAAAGCCCATTGGCAGGAACGCTCAGAAGCCAAATAAATGGCTGCAAACGCAAGTGTGTAAGGGAGGTAGCCATGCTGAACCAGCGACCTGTGGCGCAATATCCTATGACATCAGAAATGACAGGGGAAGAACATGGGGACAAACTTTTTTTTTCTTTTTTATGAAATAATGACTAACATTTTTTTCCAATTTAATAAGGGTTAGAAATGCACAAACCATGTTAAAGGGTTGGCCCAGCAGATCAGAGCATTGTCTGCTCCTCCAGAGGTCCTGAGTTTAATTCTAGGCACACAATTCTAGGTCCACACTTTGGCTTAAAACCATCTATAGTGGAATCTGATGCCTTCTTCTGGCGTGCAGGCACACATGCAGATAGAGCGCTCATAGATAGATAGATGGTAGATGGATAGATGGAACTTTAAAGAAAGACGGAAGGAAGGAAACCCACAAGCGCAGGAAACTTGGCGACCTGGCGTCTGTCTACATGGCTGCCGCTGAGCTTCTTAAATCACTTGGGAGGAGGGCCCACGCACCTTCCAGTAAGCCACTGGTCGTTTGGCCCCACTTTGCAAAATGCAGGGAGCCGCCTCCCGCCCAGGGAAAGCAGATCAGCTTAAAAACTGCCTCAGGCTTTCGATACAAGCAGTTCAGAATCTTTTCACTCCTAGGAAGAAAATTTAAATACATTTAGCATTGCATAATGATAAAGAATAAGAGTTCTAAATTAAACCAGGTATGTTGTCACGGCAAATCTCATTTAACTGCAACATGCGCGTATTCAAATATGAAGTAATTGTCTTTCTTTTTCCCAAGAAGCGAGGCCCCAAAGGTTTGAATGGTCTATGTTGTATGATTTGAATCCATAAACTCTTGGGGACATAGATGGAATAATGAAGGATCCATGTGCTTCATATGTCCAAACAAAGTGATGTAACTGTTATTTCATACATGCCTCCTTCCACAGCTGAGGAAATAGTTCTATCCAGTTCATAGGCTTCAGTCCCAGCGCCTTCATTACCATCCAGAAACACTTCTCAAATCATCTACAAATTTTCCGAAACACTAAATTTTTATTCTTTAAACACTTGATAAAAATACTTTGGATTTGTGCATAATGTCACTAGAAAACTTATACCAAGATCCAGCATCAAATCAACTGATCTTAGGAAAAAAAAAATCTGTTTTAAACAACCACCCTGTATAGATATATTTGTATTTTGTTCAATTTAAGTCTTTCGTGAAAAGTTTCCAAATGGATCCTTAGAATTTTTACAAAGATGTGAAAGCCTCCTAAATGAGAAACCATACGACAATGATTTTCAGTCTGTTTTGTCTTTTAAAAAAGTATCAGAGTTGTAGTTTGGATCATAAGTGTCTCTCAAAACTCATGTACTGAAGGCTTGGTCCTCAACTGATGGTATGATTGGGAGCCGAGGGATGATTAAGAAGGAGAACCTGGTGGGAGGAGGGAAGGAGATTCGGGTACACCACTGAGGGGACCCTGAAGCTTTGGCCTGCTCTCTCTCAGCTGTTTTCCTCTCATCTTTCCTCCCTCCTAAGCAGTCTTTAACTAACTGCCTTTACTCTGCTTGCATCCCCTGGCACGCACACTTTTCTACAGGACCAGCGTGGCAGGGCTCAAGGGCTATGGGCTGAAAAAGCATGACTCTGATAAAAATGAATGTTTCTCCTGCAAGTCTGTGCACCACATGCATGCAGTCCCCACGCAGGCCAGAAAAGGCCATCAGACCCACCAGAACCGGAGGTGTGTGCTGTGAGCACCACGTGGGTGCTGGGAACTAACCCTGGCTTTTAGCTGCTGAGCCATCCCTCCAGCCCCCCAAATCAGATCTTTTCTCCTTTACGTTTCATCATTTGATCTTGATAAAAAGTAAAAATAACAGACTGAGATCTTTCTAGATACTCTGTTCCCATAAGGATGCTTATGAGAATAAAATAATTGAGAGCATGCACAAAGTGAAACTTAATGTGTGGTAACAGTTCCAAACTTCTTTGGGATAAAAATACTTTTAAAGGAAACTTCGTGTGCACACACACATATGTGCATACGTGTGTGTGGGGGGGGGGGGGTGGGAATTGTCAGAAACTGAACCTAGAACCTTAAACATGCTATATTCTCCAGAGTCCACCATGGTGAGGTACTAACACCAACAGTGAACCCATGGCCAAGTTCTGATGAGAAGGTAGAGCTGATGGCTGCCTGTGCCCCTCACAGCCCCTCACACTCAGCCTTGTCTTTCCACTTTAAAGAGAGAATCAGTGACCCAGAACCAAACACACCTTCTTTTTCTCTTCCTTCAATATTTTTTGTTTAAATCCTCTACAGATTTAGAGTCGAGAGTGACCAGAGAAATGATTTGATTATCAATTAATATTCATGATTAAATATTATTTAATTAGAAATAATTATTAAAAGCAATCATCGATTGTTCATAACAAATATTAATTAATTAGAAATTATTTAATTTAGTATGGTGTTGTGATCAAGGCTTCAGAGAAAAAAGTCTCAACTTTAAATCCTAGTTTCACCTCTCACCACGGGACACTAGGCAGATTGCTCAAGTACTTTGCGTTTTCAGTGGCTGTGGTGTAAGCAAAGAACAATACTTGATTGTTCCTCACTTGTTAACTGTGCAAGCGAATGTACTGAAAGTTCTAGCCATGGTTTTAGGCACTCCTTATCTGCTGTTGCTTTCCTGACAGTTGTCAAAAGTGAGACGCAAAGCCATTCAGTCACCAAACCAGTTATCGATAAGTGAGAATGAAAGCACAAATCCTGCTCGCTATGAAAACCATTTGTCTCCTAGTCCTCTCCCCATATTCTCCGTAGCAGCGTCACTAAGTGGAAGGAAGCAGAGAACACACTGAGAAGCTTTGGTCTAGAGCAGGGGCAAGAATGGGTTCTCCAAGTTAGCGTGTTCTTCTTGGCCTTGCAAGCATTTCAGACACACCAGAGATATACCATTTCATTTTAAAATGCCACCAAGAGGCAAGCAAGATGGCCCAGTGAGCAAAGGAACCTGCTGTCAAGCCTAATGGCATGGGTTCCAGCACAGGGACATTGCGGATCCCAGTGCTCCAACATCCTCTTACCTTCATCTTTGATGATTCTGGCTATGTGTTATGGGAATTCCCTTATGCTTTTTCCCTTTGGGAAATCTTGTGCAGGCTTTGGTAGAGGATGTGAATGCATACAATGGCAATCTCTCTAAACAAAATAATTCTTTGGAAAAAAATTTCTGCCACTGTGGAGCCATGTAGTGTGATAACTCTGCCTCCTCCCACACATGAGTCTGAATTGTGCCCCTCTGATTGCACGAAAGAAGAGAGAAGTTAAAGTTTGATGGTTCCAGAAACTCTTAGGCACTTACACCTGGCCCCAAGGATGAAAGTACATTGAGAGAAACAATGTGTCCAGACCCCGAGTCTGAGGCCTTGGCGGTTGAGGGCAAGAGTTCAGTTAAGAAGCATAGAACAGTGCCCTTGATTGATTCCTTGGGTACAGGACAGGGTGAATGGCAAGGTCTGGTGTGCCCCACAGGGAGCAGATTCTGTTAAGAAGTTACGATGGCTTGTTCCCCCTTTGCCACATACAGGAGCATATGTTGAAGGAATTAGGAAGGTGTGGCATAATGGAAAAAGAGGAAGATGGGGAGTGTGTGAAAAGAATCGGCCCATATTGTAGGATTGAGGCACAATTAGGAAACAGCTCAATGCTTATTCTGCTACGTGGTACAAACAATGCATCATGCCCCTTGAGGAATGAAAATTGCCCTTACGGATTTGACTCAGTGTCAGGCACCCTCTGACCACAAAGGCTGAAAGCATGCAGGAGGAAATGTAAAGGGGCACCTGGTGGGGTTGCTGGCCCTTAGCAAACAATGGGAAGGAACGTAGATCCTTGCTGCACTTACTGCTTTTGCGTCAAAGAAAAATACTGTCATAAAGTTGATCACCTCTTTCATTCTGGATGTTGAAAAAATAGGACTAAACTAGGTTAAATACAATCGGTGAAAAGGTCATACATCTCTTGGAACCAGTAAGTCTTTTTAATATTGCTTGTGGCTAAGTTATTATGCAAACATAGACTAGAAAAGTTGTAGTTTTTTTTTTTTTCAATAAACACAAGCTATCCTGATTTGTCCTCAGACTGTGTCACTCTCCTTCCCTCGCCGACTCCACACCTCCTCTTTGGGACCTGAATCCCACTGGAGCTAGATGGTAGCACCTAATGGCTTGTGTTTGATCCCCAGGTCCTACGTGAATGAAGCAGAGAACTAGCTCCTACAAGTTATCCCCTGACCCCCACATGTTCACACTGGCACATACAGTAATCAATCAGTTGATTAAATGTAATTTTTTTTTTAAACTCCAAGTTAGTAGCATTCTGTATACAAATGCTTGGACCCACCTTTCACAATTTAGGTATTAGACACCAAATTCAATTCCAGTGATGAGCCACATTAAATCTAACAGGCAACTTCAGGGTGCTGAAGCACCGAAGATGGGCTTCGGGGAGCCAGGAGTTCCCAGAAGTAGCCTACCTGGTTCTCTTAGCCGTTGTCTCCATGCTGCCCTCAGCAATCGTCTGGCCGTGTTAAAATCAACTCCCCTCTGGGCACAACAATCTCAAATAAAGCCTTATTCGCACGGAGTGACAGGATTTCTTTCAAAATCGTTGACTGAAGTGGTCATTCCACATCCTGCTTTTAAAAGGCAGGGAAGAAGAGGAGGAACGCACGAGGAAGAAGAAGGAAAAGGAAGGCATGAAGGAGGGAAGGGATGAGGGGAGGAGGAAGGAAGGGAAAATGGGTTAGGGGCAACACAGAACATGGCAGCAGGGCGCCCACAGCCTCAGTTTACAGATGGCTATCACTGCACATTACCAGGACATTCAGACAATGTCCATAAAGACAGAAATGCAGCCTTTCTAATACCTCTCAGCTAAAAAGTGCCCAGGTCAAGAGACAGAAGACACTCCATACCCACTGGGAAGTTAAAGGAAGTAGTTGCTCTGAAAATAGATATTTTGGCTGGAGAAATGGCTCAGCAGTTAAGAACACTAGCTGATCTTCCAGAGGTCCTGAGTTCAATTCCAGCAACCACATGGTGGCTCACAACCGTCTATAATGAGACCTGGTGTCCTCTTCTGCAGGCATGAGTACATACTCACATAAATAAATAAATCTTTAAAAAAAAAAAAGAGAGGGAAGAAAAAAGATATCTTAGCTTTCTGGGTATATATAAAGTTTTGAGCTTTTAAATATTAAGAGTGAGTTAGGATTTTTAAAAGAAGATATTTTTATTTTGTGTATATGAGAGTTCTATCTGCATTAACATCTGCCAGAAGAGGGAATCAGTTCACATTATTTTGAGCTACCATGTGGTTGCTGGGAATTGAACTCATGACCTTTGGAAGAGCAGACAGTGCTCTTAACTGCTGAGCCATCTCTCCAGCCAACCAAAATCACATGTTCTTTTTTTTTTTTTTTTTAACTAAGTGTGGTTTTCTTTTTCTTTTCTTACTTTTTTTTTTTTTTAAGATTTAATTGATTTTATTATGTATACAATGTTCTGCCGGCCTGTACACCTGAAGAGAGCACCAGATCTCATTATAGATGGTTGTGAGCCGCCATGTGGTTGCTGGGAATTGAACTCAGGACCTCTGGAAGAGCAAGCAGTGCTCTTAACCTCTGAGCCATCTCTCCAGCCTGAGTTAGGATTTAAAAAAAGTGCGGGGAGGAATTATTAGAACAGGTACTTAGAAACCATTTTTGCTTTTTTAAAAAAAAAAAAAAAGATTGACTCCTTGGGTCCACAAGGTAACTAAAAGCAAAAATTTTAAAACAAGCAAACACAACCACAGAAAACCTGGCATCTCTGCCCTCTCTTAGTGTCTGCCTCCTTTACTTTAGGTCCGACGCCTACAGTCTGCATGAGCATATTAATTTTTATTAATCATTCAGCATGTCCGTTTACAATCTGCAGCCAACAAACCCATTTCATTTTCCTTCAGGGCTGAAGGCAGCAAGAGTCATTTTTAGAAAACAGCAGTCCCGTGAGTGTCAAAACCAGCAATTCCCCACAGGATGGAATAGTGGCAGAGGAGGACGACCAAGCGCCAGAGGGTACTACTACGAGGCAGGGCTACCGTGTCAGGAGAGCCAGGTTGCCCTGCTCAGCCCATTGCAGCGATTGGGACTACTCCGAGCTGTCTGAAGAATCAGAGCAGGCACAGTGAGCAAGCGGACCTCACTCTGACCAGAATCCCTCCCTATCATATCTCTCCCCTGCCCCAGGTCCTTCTTTGTTTAAACCCAAAATTCTATCAGCATCTGAAGATGGACGTGAGTCGCTGGTCCCCGCTAGCCCACAGGTATGGAATCTCCCTCCTCTGCCTTTCACAGTCACTCATCTCTTTCATTGGCGCTGTGGTAGTACAGCCTCACCTATCTGGGCAGCTGAAATCTGGAGTTTTACCCTTAATACTCTAGTAATGCACATCAGACATCTAATCTTGAGCTTCTAACATTCAGTAAAGAAAGTAAAAATTACTATCGTTTAGAAATGTATAAATGACGCCTGATTTATAAGGATTTTTAACACACTTACCTCCTAGGAGTCCCCTGAATGCCTGGCAATCGTGTTCAGGCTGTGGTTTAATTCACAGCGTTAATGAACTTCAGGTGTGCTCTGGAGATCCGAGGCTCACCCTTCAGTTGTGCTCCCTGCAGAGGAGAGGACCAGAGCTCACCAGAGAAACAGCCTGCTCAAATGGGAGAAGGCGGGGCCTTTTATCTGTCAGAACAGTGGCTTGGAGCCACCCTGTGTCCTCATATGATTCACCTTGACACTTTATCATGGGGTCACCAGCTCTCTGAGCAAGTTTTTGCTTCTTAAATAACAATACAGAATGCGGCCGGGCAGGGCTTGCAATCCCAGCACACAGGAAGCGAAAGCAGGATGATTGGCAGTTTGAAGTTATCCAGGGCTGCAGAGAAAGACTATCTCAAAATAAAAGCTAAAACCCAAACAAAATGATGACATAAACTGCAGAAAAAAGATGTCTACTATTTTCAAGGAAAACGGGCAGCAGAGGTGCAGCATACACACAGGTTGCTTCCACAACTGAAGGTTGTTGATTACAAAGCTCCCATAAAATGAGGTTAAATTTCTCCATCTCTTTCTTTTAATCACGATTTAGTCACTTTGTATCCCAGCTGTAGCCCCCTCCCTAGACCCCTTCCAATCCTCCCCTCCCTCCCTCTTCTCCTCCCATGCCCCTCCCCCAGTCCACTGATAGGGGAGGTCCTCCTCTCCTTCCATCTGACCGTAGCCCATCAGGTCTCCTCTGGGCTGGCTGCATTGCCTCCATCTCTTTTTAAATATTGTGGTTTGGTTTGGTTTGGTTTTAACTTGACAGAGCCTGTGATCAGTTATGTTTGAGGAGCTCAAGCGTCACTATTCAATAAATATGTTTTAAAGCCAAGATCATCTGCATCGTTTCTCAACAGTGTCAGGATCCAAAGGTGAAGCAATGAGGATCCTCCTTAAAGGGAAGCCACGGGAAGCATTTGTCCCCAAGGCTAATGGGTTATATTCAAGAAACAAGCCTGGGACTGTCTCAGAACTGATACATGATGTCAGGCTAAAAGGAAAAACATGGCCAGAAGAGCCTCAGAAGGCCAGACAAGAATGAAATCTGCATAGAGTTGTGTGACAGTCAAACTGAAGAAAGAGAAAGCAGATAATGACAAAGGTGACGTGACCAGAGGAGCAAGTGGCTGTAAATGATGACACAGGACACAGATGCCATTTCTGAGGGGACAGCAGTTAGACTGCTGGCAACTGAGAAGAGCCTCAGAAGTACAAAACAAACAGTAGAATTTCTTTTCAAGTGAAGTAAAGAACTACAACGGTGTGTGTTTGTGTGTGTGTGTGTGTGTGTGTGCAGTAAACCCAGGGCCTTGCAAATGTTAAGTACTGCTTTAGCACCCAGCTACAAAAGCATCTCAGTCAGACAGCTTGGAATTCCCAGACCCAGCATAAATGTCTTTTAAAAACCTGAGCACTTGGCACTTGGGAGAATTTCTTTGCTCCCACGGACAGCCCCACCGCCATGCACATTCAGAAACATTAACAGGACTTTGTGGGTTACAATTAAAGAAAAAGACATGAAGTCAGGACAGGCACATATTGGGATACAGAGAAAGCTGGAGAAGGGGAGTAGGGTGTGGAGTGTGGTCATATTTCATTGTATACTTACATGAAGATTTCAATAATGAAGGAAAAACATATGGAAAAATAAACCATTATCTACACAAAATTCGATTTACAATTTTTCTAATAGTTTAGAAGAAATTGTAAAATACTTAAATTTGACTGCAAATGTACCAAAACAGCACCCGGGGGAATATTTAAAACAGAAAATTACATTTGTTCGTTAAAAGGATAAATAAATAAACAAGCAAGCAAATACACAAAACAGAAAACAACATGTGCAAACATTCTCACCGTGTTGAGAACAGGGACTGTCACCAAGCCCTGCTACTGGAAGACTTTGGCCAGAAGGCAGAGTAACCGACCCGAAAGATATGAAAAGCGTGAGCAGTGGTAAACACGTGGGCGAATAGAGACACGGACAGCATGAAGTATATTTGTAACCTGTGCTGGGTCTAACATGCATTTAAAGTACCAACATATGAGAAAGTCAGCAGCATGTGAAGAATGAGCCCTCCCCACAGTATAAAATACGTAGATGTTGGTGAGTTTGTGAGTTTCAATTTCTAAGCAGGCCCCAAAACAACAAAAAAGGACAAGTCACTAAACGTTGAAGAGAAAAATGTTTTGTCAGTCAAAAAGGAAAAGAAGGAGAAACACAGAGAGGGTAAAAGCAATAGGAAGCCCAAACCAAGATGGCAGGTTTAAACCTGAGTTCTGTCTCTAGAACCCATCAAAGGTGAGCGAGGAAAAACTCCACAGTTATCCTCTGACCACCATGTAAACATGGCCACCATGGCACACAGGTGCCTATACGTGTTTCTGCAAACAGTGTATATGCAAACAATAATAATAACGATGATGATTTTAAAAACTAGTATCAGAATAATATACCTTGCTAGATCATTTAAAAATTTTTAAGTACATTTTTGCCTATTAGTACATGAATGTTTTGGGTGAGGGTGGGGGTGTTTTCTAATGTCACAGCACTTTTGGACCTCACCGTGGCTTGGCCTCCATTTCTAATATTGCCGACTCAAACTGCCACCTCTTTGGCTATCCAGACATGCTCCTGCACATCACCTCCATGGTCCTATGGACCAGCACCTCGAATCTGTGGACTCCAAGGTTCTACACCTGGCCTTCCCAGCTCGATTCAACCTTGACTCTCAGTTCACACTTGCAGCCTCCTGGGCTGGCTCTATAATAACACCCCAGCAGCTAACATCTTATCTAGTCTGGGTTGGCCAACATCTTATCAGCTCTCTCTCTCTCTCTCTCTCTCTCTCTCTCTCTCTCTCTCTGCCTCCAGTAAAGCCTCTTTGAACTTTGCTGTGGCTTTCTTAACCT